TGCATGACATGGGTACACTTACATACATGCAGGCAATACATTCATATACATTAAAAATAAAAATAATAGAGGCTGGAGAGATGGCTCAATGGTTAAGAGCACTGGCTGCTCTTACAGAGGACCCTGGTTCAAATTCCAGTACCACATGGCAACTAACAACTGTATGTAAGTCGTTCCAGGGGATCTGGCACCCTCTGTAGGGATAGTGCTTCCATTTAAGGCTAAAGCTAACAACCAAAAAATGAAAAACTTTTTAAAAAGATTTCATAAACTATGAGTCAATAAAAACCTACTCAACAATAAAAACTATTGATAGCCATACATATGAATGATCTCACAATAATTACGCTGAGTAAAAGAAACCAAACAGTGTATATTCCACACATCCTTACAACTGCTGAAAATGCAAACTAATTCATGTGGATAAACAGCAAGGTGTAATTGAAAAACTTTTTAAAAAGATTTCATAAACTATGAGTCAATAAAAACCTACTCAACAATAAAAACTATTGATAGCCATACATATGAATGATCTCACAATAATTACGCTGAGTAAAAGAAACCAAACAGTGTATATTCCACACATCCTTACAACTGCTGAAAATGCAAACTAATTCATGTGGATAAACAGCAAGGTGTAATGTTACCAAGGCATACCAAGCCTTCCAGGATGAGAGATGTGTTCATTGCACTCATTTTGGTGGTAGTTTCCTGACACAGATGCATGTGTCAAAATCTGTCAAACTATACACTTGATATATAATTTAGGTATGTCATATGCACACAATTAGACCTATTTAAAAACATTAAGTGGAATTGGGGATGTAGCTGTCAGTAGAGTGTCAAGCAAGCGTGAAGCCCAGCACCTCTATACGGTGGTACATGCCTGTAATTCCTGCACTTGGGAGATGGAGGCAGGAGAGTCACAAGTTGTGCTGGCTAATTTTGGTCAACTTGATACCAGGTAGAGTCACATGGAAGAAGGAACCTCAACTGAGGAATTACTCCCACCAGATTGGTCTGCAGACATATCTGTGAGGCATTTTCTTGACTGCTGATTGACCTAGGAGGACCCAGCCCACTGTGGGCAGTGCCATCCCTGGGCAGGTGGGTCTGGGCAGTATAAGAAAGATGGTTGAGCAAGCCCGGGGGAGCGAGCCAGTAAGCAGCATTCCTCGTGGCCTCTGCTTCAGCTCCTGCCTCCAGGCTCCTGCCTCAGCTTCCCTTGATGAGGGGACTGTGTAAGCTGAAATAAACCCTTTCCTCCCCAAGTTGCTTTTGGTCAAAGTGGTCCATCAAAGCAACAGAAAAGGTAACTATGGCAGGAGGTCAAGGTCATCCCTGGCTACACAGATGGAGCCTGAACTACGGGGAACCTTGTCTCAAAAATCAAAAGAATAAATAACAAACATCACTAAATACAGCAAAGGCGCTAGACCACATTCCTG